ACTTTCTCCTAACACTTTTTAGCAAGATAAAGTGGATGAGGTTACCAATCTTAGTCATACCAATATCACATGCAGCATTCCCTATCAACAGTATTAGTTAGTTTGGGTGTATTTTGTCCATTATGAAACAAGCCCAGCCAAAGCCCAGTTTGAGTGCAAGCATGTACATGCTCTTGTATGCAACCTAGGATCTCTAATTTGGGGATATCTCTGAGGCTAACATATAGTTGCTCATGTCCCACCAACTGGGAGATTTGTGCATGTTTTGTCATACGCAGGAGTCATTAACTCCTTACTTATGTAGTGCAATAAAAGCAAACCTCTGGATAATGGGTGCTGCATAAATGTACAAGAAGTCCCTCTCATTTATGAAGTTACATTTTTTATTCAGTTTTTCATTATGAATGGGTGTGACTTTTATAAGATAATCTACTACTATTCAAGTCACTGATCCATCTTTTTTTCTGATAGGCAGCAGTTTTTAGAGTCTCTGGCAATTATATTTTCCATCATTTGGTGGGTTTTTTTCCACATTAGATTTGGTACTGGAGTGTTCCACATATATTCTACCACTGAGAAAAGCTACCTCTCCAGATACTTGAGAGCATTCACATTCCTAAGACTCACAATAAGCCACCACAGTGAAAGCCTAGATAAAAAGGGGGAAAGGGAAACAGTCTCTTACTATAAGGACATCTGTCATTCTTTTTTCTGGCACATCACAGACTATCTTGCTATTCCTTTTGTCAGTGAGATATAGCATCGAGTACTTATTAAAATCACCAATTAATCACCAGAACACTTAGTAAGCAACAAGCTTGAAGTTTATGTTATGGCGAGGGTTCTAGTGATGTTCTCTAAAGGAACCCCATCTAGCTGGCCCTCGTTAACCAGTGGGGCAGGACTGGAGCTGATAACATACAGAGGTCTTTTCTTCCTCTCTACACTCTTAAACTTGCCTTTAACTATTTTCTGTTTCTAATCTTCTTCCTTATTCCTTAAAATGCTAACACTGAAGTCATAAGTGGGTAAAGTTTTTTAAGATATACAGGTAGTCCTCGACTTACAGCAGCTCATTTGGTGACTGTTTGAAGTTACAACGATATTGAAAAAAGTGACTGATGATGATTTTTCACACTTACGACCATTGCAACATTCCCATAATCACGTGATCAAAATTCAGATGCTTGGCAACTGACTCATATTTATAGCCGTTGCAATGTCCCTGGAGTCACGTGATCACCTTTTGCAACCTTCTGACAAGCAAAACCAATGGGGAAACCAGTTTCACTTAGCAACCGAATTACTAACTTAAGAACTGCAGTAATTCACTTACAACTATCACAAGAAAAGTCGTAAAATGGGCCCAAATTCACTTAACAACGGTCTTGCTTAACAACAGAAATTTTGGGCTCAATTGTGATTGTTGAGGACTATTTGTACCATTTTACCTTTCCAAAAATATTACAAAAAATGTCTGAAATAAGGCCTTTTGCCAAGTACAGTTGAAGTCAACTGTACCATGTTTAAACAGGTATGGGAACTATACCTTTCATATTTAGTACATACTGTTACAAATACTGTACACATGAAAAACATATTATATGAGACAAGTCAAATAATATTTGGGCAATAGCTTGACCATATATCTTGTATTCTTTTTATGGCCCTCCAGTTGGATTTCTGAAATAATACATTGAAAAGGCTGACACTGTAGCCTCTTAGACTTTCCAGTCATTCCTGCATTGTCTTGGTAATGTCTGAGAATGATAATTCTTTCTTTAACCCTCATTCTTTAATAATAAATTCAGTTAAGAGCTTGTATATTTAGAAACTGAGCCACAATAAATAAAACAGTGGTTTATTTTATATCGTGTCTAATTGAGGACACACATAGCATGTGGACATCCTCAGCACACATAGATGTGGAAGTACACAACTATATATATTAAATGACATGTGAGGTTAGCATGAATTCCTTGCTGAGGATGTCAAATCAGATCCACCTAGTCTAGTGCCCACACTCCATTAGTTACCTTGCAAGGAAGATAACTTATTGACAAGGAAGATAACTTATTGAGAGGCTTCAAGCAATGTTCATATACCTTCTGAATAAAACATGCAAGGGACTGTGAGGTCACCCAGGAAATTACCTCAGAATCCTCTATATGGTGGTAAGGAATCCTGATCTAAGTGGAATCTGGAATCCCAGGTTTTACAAAGGAATTCTGCATCCATATATCAACATGTATGTGTAACCTTTTTTCATACACACTGGATTGATATTTCATACTTCCTGACTACCCATCTCCCTTGGATACATGGATTGTGTGTGGCCTGAGGCAAGATAGAAGGGAGATGCCCCATGAGGGCATCTACTCCCCCCCCCGTCCCCCTTTGCTATTAAAAACACTAGTAGATGACCTTTGACTGGAAGAAAGAGAACTTTTTTCAGGAGATTTTTCTGCACTCCGTACATTCATATGTCTAAGATGAGTATGCCATCCCACAATATGCCCACCTGCAAATATATTTTCAGTGTCCTGATCATAGAAGCAGAGAAAAGGAGAGTAAGTGTTCGCTGGAATTTGTAAAACAGATTGAGCTGTGTCATGCAGTTTCTTCAGACTGACTCATCTGCATGGATACTGAATTAGTCACACACCCACAAAAAACACTTCTTGCCCATCCTTGCCAGCCTCAGCAAAAGTATTGCACACATACATTGGGCTGTTTAGAAAGCATCACTGTACTACAACAGTACTTTTAACTCTTTGGGATGCCTGTCATCTGATACATTCCTACCAAGTGTCAAGGACAGCATTATGACTGCATTCTGTCTCCAGATTTCTAAATAGAAATATTGAAGCACTGCACATGCAATGGGTTGATTCACACTGAACATAAGACAGTGTTTTACAACTGCTGTTTGTCCATCATAATTTCCTGACTTGCAAATATGCTAAGCCATAATGCAGAGATTGGGAATGTGGTGCCCATGTATAGGTATTATGGTCGTAAGTTGTTAAGTTGGTCACTATTTAACTATGCCTGATTTTACATCCTTTTTTTGGTGGCAGTTGTTAAGCAAAAGCCACAGATGTTAAACAAAGTCATTTTCTTCCATGGGTGTTTTTTGGCAGAAACCTGCAAAAAAAAAGTCAAAAATCATGGTCATGGTCAGGATGCTGCAAATGGCCATAAATGTGAACTGGTTGCTAAGTGCCCAAAATGCAATCACATGACGAAGGGGAGTGGGGGGTCATAAGTAATTCTGGGGGAGTGTGTCATAACTTCAACTGGTCTCTAAGCAACTGACTATTACGCAAGGACTACCTGTATAGTAGTTGCAATTTCCCTAATAGTACCCACAAGTAACCCCAGGCCTCTCTTCCAGAGACCAGGCATCATAATAAAGAAAGAGTGCTTCTGGGATCCCACTATATTAAATTGTTAAATTGAGATGGACTGGAGTGCCCCACTCTGCCTGATGTTACTGGATGGAGAGACTACTGGAGACTCTGTTGGCATGCCATACCCCCATCCTGAACAAACAAGAAATAATTCTCTAACTCACCCATCTATCTAAGCCACACGGAACAGGGGAACCTGGTGGCAGCATTGAGGCTGAGCAGCCCTAGCAACATTGCTGCTATTCCAAAAGTCCATCTCATGCCATTCACCAAGGTGCATGAGCTTTGGGGAACAGTGTGATTGCCCCTCACAGCCCAGCGTTCTCCAGGATTTGCTGCACATCTTGCCTTCAGGCAGTGTTCTCTTTCTGTTGACAGGTCCCTGTGACCTATTCTGAATCACATGAGGCCTTTATTCTAGAAGCAGCTTTGAAGAATGCTCTTCCACGGCCTCTAGACTCCAAAAACTGCACAAAAGCATGCCCTGTTCTCATGTTTATTTTCTGAGGCTCTGGAGGTTGTGTGAGAGCATACTTCATTCTCATGTAGTTGTTGTGGGTGTGAGTGAATGCTGATGTGTCACCTAAAACATTGTGACGTGTCACATTTGACACATGTGTCACTGGTTTACCATCTCTGGGCTTAACAAATCTGTTTCACCTTAAAACGTTACTTCCCTCAAAATAATGGCCAAACATTTCTTATTTATTTTATACCATGCGTTTCTGCTCCATTAAGCCCTGAAGATAAATAATGAAATTGGGCCCAGTTGCTTCTAGTTCTGGTTCACATGTCCTGCTACAGTCCCTGCAGCACTAGAAGAAAAGCATGTTGCAAAAATGTTGTCTTACCTGTGGGTTAGGCCAACCCAACAAATGACTTTATGAGACATACGTGTCTCCATGAGCTAGGAGAAATGTAATTTTCCTACAAGAACCAAGCCCTCTGATTTGTGAAAATCATAAATTAATGAGGATGTTTAGGATTTGTGTTCTTATGTCACTTTGATATTAAGGGTCACCTATTCCTACTGCAACTCTCCCACCCCCAACAGCAAGTCTAATTTTCTGAGAGAAACTTAATTCTCTCAAGAGTCTGCGTAATATATAGCTGGGGATCAGATCCAATCCAACTTGTTTGTTGCTGTACATACTGTAAAACAGGTTAGGGCATTCTGAAAAGTTGATGCATGGAGGATTGTGTTTCTATTAGCTTTAATAAATGAAGAGATTTTTAAAAATGCATTTTCAAAATGTTGCTAATGTGTATTGCTATTAGGTTAAATAACAGAGGGAAGAGGGGAATATCTAGGGACAGCCTGGATACATAAAAAAACACTAGGACACAACTTCCTTTTCCTGTTCAGAATTTGAGTTGCAGTCAGCTATTTTGAAAGGAAGACATCCACTATAAGAGTTAAACATTAGTCAACAGTTAATGTAAGCTACTGCAGGAAATACTATGATATTTGAGAATAATGAAGAAAATGGAGAACAGCTTCCAGTTATTTGTAATAGTGGAAAGATGAGAACTTTCTTTCATGAGAATAAGAATATTTTCAGCCCATAACAGCATCCTTATTTTCACCTGAAATCCACTTTGTTTCAGGAGCTGAAGAAGTAACAGCTGTTTGTCTTGGGAGAGTGCACGGGAGGGACTTCTCCAAAATTCATGGGCTGAGAAAAAAAGTCAAAAGAGCTGAATACATCAAGTGGAAGAGTGGTAGAATTCCTGTTTTCCAGACAAGCCTTCTACAACCCCAGCAACTGCCCAATATACAGTAAGGTGTAAAACTTGCCTTCACATACAAAGTGTGAGGGAGAACACCTATTACATTTTGTCCCCCAAATTCTTCTAATGGCACAGAAAACCTGCCTTTAAAAAGTAAAAGGTATGAAAGGGTGGGGAATAGAATTTTGTTCAAAAGCAAAATAATTGGAGATAAATTCTACAGTAAATTCAGCTTAACAAATAAATATAATAAGGTAACTTACTTATGGGCAGTTTAGGGTTTCCATTCCTTAGCATTCAGTTAAATGCTAATGGTCCTCAAGATTGTACAGGCAATATATAGGCGGCCCACAGCTATATAGACCACATTTTAACCTACAGAGAACCATGCCTCTTGAAATAAAAGTTCTTAAATGTCCCTGTAGTTTTAGTGTCCCTTCATTCTGAGCAATGCTTCCTTCCATGATACATTATTGGAGATCTCATCTGTACTATAATGTTTCAACCCTAGATATTACCTAACTAATAAATATAGGACCAGCAACTTTTGAAGCCACTTTGAGTTGTCAATACTTGCCTTGCCCAGTATTGTTTCCTCTCTAGCTACTATTGCTACTCACCTGCATTTTGTTCCCTTCTCTAAGTGTAATCCACCATTATTCTATTAACAAATATGATCTTTCTGAATAAATACAGGAGAGTTAGGGTTAGAATTGTTATAGTGCTTTTCCCCAGAAGGAAAACAGTATTTCCCTTATTCTCTTTGTACATCTGCATATTGGAAAAGGGTTGAACAGTGTTTGAGACAAGCCATTCCTGGGACCAGCACAAATCTTTTAATCATCATCATTTTAAGGGCAGAAATAAGATGAGCTCCTCACCATCTAAAAGGCAGGGTAGGCAGAAATTCTGCTGAGAAGGGAAAGAGGGAAGGATAAGATAGAAAGCAAAAGCAGGGGAAAATAGACTGAGGAAATTCATTGATAGATTTACTACCTCCAGGGTATTGTTCTAGAATAGTATTTCTCCACTGCATCAACTTTAAAATGTATGGACCTCAACTCCTAAAATTTCTAAACCTGCATCCTGGAGAATTCTGGGAGCTGAAGTTCACACATCTTAAAGTTGATGAGGTGGAGAAATATTGACAAACTATGGGAAATCAGTAAAGACTATCAAATATTTCAACCTCTTTCATGCTGCCTCCCAGTAACCTGACACTTATGAAGAGAAGAAAGGTAGAAGATTAGCTTAGGTTTGAACAAGGCTTCCCTTATTTCCATCAACACCCTTGCTAGTATTCAGCTTGCTGATCAGAAAGAAAAGTTAACTTTGTAAGGACTTTCTAAATGTGACAACATGTTTTGTGAACTCATTCATTCCCTAATCATCAAAGTAGCCCCTAATCTGAAGTTTGCAGATACATAAAGACCTACTTACATGAAGGCATTTTACCTGTGTGGTAAAGATCCATTATAAATTTCAGCAGTTTTACGATTCCATGTTCCATCACTTTCTCACAAATCCACCCCAAGCACATTCTTGCTGCTGTTCACTGTTCAAGCTTTTTCTTATAGCAGTCTCCCACATCGTGGTACTCGGAAGATGTCTTGGGACTGCAATAATAATCCACAACCATAATGAGCAAAGGCTGGGCTGGGAGTTGCAGTCCCAAGATAGCTGGAGAACATCAGGCTGGCAAAGGCTTTTTTCTATGTTGCACAGCACTTTGCTAGCTCTGAACAGTGTTCCTGTTGGGCTTTTTTCCTTGTTCAGATTCTCTATCCTATTTTATATAAAGTTTATTGTCATTGTACATATATACATAGTATATCCATACAACGAAAGTCACATAACACCCAGAGACCAAGCCCAACACACATGACAATCCCCAGACACAGCCCCACCTCCCAAAAATTCCCCACCCCTAAACCACCCAAACTATTGTCTCATATTAAGCTGTTTCAACCACCTAAACCTACTAAAAGGGCATTTGATTTAAACTAGGATTTCTCCTGTCCTATTACATGTAGCTTGGTTCACTTACTTGGATCTTCTGAAGGAAATGTCTGTTTGTGGTCCATTGGTTTGAATTGCACAGGTTGATCTAACAGGGAAATGTGATAATTCTGACTTGCAAGGATGAACTTTTCCCCAACCTGACAGTTTCTGGGCTGCAGTAGGGGATCCTCCAAACCTATGGTCATCAGTTAGCTTGACAAAAGGACAAATTTACATGGATTTGGGGACATAAGAACATAATCAGTGCCTGCTGGATACTGGACCAACTAGTCCAGTAATCTGTCCTCACAGCAGTCACCCAACTCCATACAGAACCCCCAATAGTGTTTCAACATCAAAGATAATCACACTGCCATTAATAGCCATTAATCCCCACAATTTCCCTGAATTGGTCCAACCCTGTTTTGAAACCAGTCAAGCTGGTATAGTCAGTACCACATCTCATGGTAGTGAATTCCAAAATTCAATCACATGTTATGTTAAAGTCTGTATCTGTCCTGATTCTTCCAGGATTCAATTTCGTTAGGCAACCTCTGTTTCTAATACTTTAGGAATAGGAAAATAAATATTTCTTGTCCAATTTATTCACTATTATGCATAATTCTGTACACTACAAACATATCCATTCTCCTTGCTAAACTAGAAAACCTCAAATGTCACAACTTTTCTTCATAGGGACCTTCTTTAGCTCTACTATATCCTTTTTGAGCTGTAGCACACAATATTCCAGATACAGTTGCACCACTGATATATATAATGCCTTATAAAACAGGCACTGCTCAACTTACAACAGTTCGTTTAGTGACCATTCAAAGTTACAACGGCATTGAAAAAAGTGACTCATGGCCATTTTTCACACTTACGACTGTCACAGCATCCCCATGATCAGATGATCAAAATTCAGATGCTTGGCAACTGACTCATATTTATGATGGGTGACATATCCTAGGGTCATGTGATCACCTTTTGAGATTTTCTGGCAAGCTAAGCCAAAGGGGAAACCAGATTCATTTAACAACCATCTTACTAATTTAACAACTCCAGTGATTCATTTAACAATTGTGGCAAGAAAAGTTATAAAATCGGGACTCTAACATATTTCTTGGTCTTTTTACAGCACATATACACTGTATCAACACCTTCATTGCATTGAATAATGTTACTCCAAGATCTGAAATGTATTTGAGTATAAATTACTACAAGATCTCTCTCCTCATTAGTGATTATTAGTTTTGATCCCATTAGAGTTTAGGAATATCTGAAGACAGAAACCACAATTATTTTAAGTACCTAGTATTTGGCCCAACTCTTGATCCCTGAACTAGATTTTCCCCTCAGATGGCAAATTATTCTAAATTCTAAATTGCAGAGGTGTCTAAGAACTTCTTTTCACAGATAAGTCCTGTATATATGAGAAGAAAGTACTGTCACAGGAATAGAAGGGGTGGAGGATCACAGCTAAAGCCAAGCAATTGGTACTGTAGGAGTGACACCTGAACGGTTTTTGGTGTTTTGTTTTCTTACACACTTCATTAGCCAACTAGGTAACATCGTTAGTGGTAAAAGGGAATGAATTTGCCCTCTGCTTATATACAAGTGGCTTGCCCTGTCAGTGTTGGTGAGTTTGTTTTTGATAGTATCTTGATTAGGCTATTGTTAGACTGTTGGATTGTTTTCTGAGTTGTTAGTTCCTTGTCCTTCTCTGTTTATCTGGGTGTTGATACAATCAACAGATCTCTGCAGATAAGCAGAGATTAACACCAGGATTAATACCAGGCCAACCATCAAGCAGTAAATAATACTCCGGTCAAGGAACTAACAACTCAAAAAACAATCCAACAGTCTAACAATAGCCTAATCAAGATACCATCAAGAACAAACTCACCTACACTGATAGGGCAAGCCACTTGTATATAAACGGAGGGCAAATTCACTCCCTTCTACCACTGATGATGTTACCTAGTTAGGTAATGAAATGTCTGCAAGAAAACAAACAAACTCAGAGACAACCAAGGACCCCACAATCCAAACCTGAGCTACAAATATTCTTTTCTGGAGTGGCACCTGTCAGCCATAATGGAAAGTGGGATGTCAATCAGGAGCTGCATTCTTCAACAGTAACACCTATTGTTGTTATAATCAGTAGCGACACACTCAAAATAATATTACTCTGTTTCCCCCAAAATAAAACATCCCCTGATAATAAGCCAAATCGGGCTTTTGAGCGCATGGCAATAAGGCCAAGCGCTTATTTCAGGGTTCAAAAAAATATAAGACAGGCTCTTATTTTCAGGGAAACACGGTAGAAAAAACATTTAGTAACAAAGCTGCAGTTTATATTAGACTGCTTCATTAACCTTTGCATAATCTTAAAAGTATCCAGAAATGCATGGGCCTGAATTCATGCACAAAATGAGACACATTCATTCTAATCTGAGCCATAAAAAGATTTGGGTCTATCCTATTCCATGTATATATAAAGTGATACACGTATAAAGGAAAAGGTCGTGTTGAACATGGTTGACAGGGCAACAAACGTTAATCTTTCTGCCTATTTTATTTCACTGATTTCTCTCATCTGGATGATCCATGAATAATTATGCTCAATATGAATGGCAGATGCAGCATTGTTAAAATTATACAGAATTTTACAATTATGGGGTACAAATAGTTTTGTGGAAACTGAATGAATTGTAGAATTTTATAATTCAATGAAATGGCAGTGCACCCAATTTATGAACAAATCAAGAAAAAATAATATGGTTTATGGATTAATTCATACATTTATGCAACAATGCAACCTTGTTCACTAAATAATGTTCATTCACGAAAACGGTTGTATACATTTGGGTGACCTGAAACAAAAGCATCTTCTAAAGAGGTCCCAGGCAATGGAAATGCTACAATAAGAGAAATTTCTAATATAATTATAAAGAGAAAGTTCTACTGAAATCAGGATTTAATGATTGAATAAACCTTAAGAACTGTATTGCACAACACACTCATTCAACACTTGGACATATATCCTCATGCATGCCTCACATCCACACTTATACATTCATTTACATACAGTGATTATTTACACATAGTTAAGTGACACTTCCAGTGAAATATACCTGCTACAATAAACTAATGAAAGCTGATTCAGATACCGTGCCACATTAAAAACACAATTTTTTCTCAGTTTTTATATACATAAGCACTTTGGATATTTATGAGCAAGAGAAAAGCAATAGTTACTAAAAAGTCCTAGTAAGATTAAGCACCTATTACTCTCTTAACCATAGAAATTATAGATCTACTTTAGAATAACTGAAGTTTCTACATAGATTAACAGTTGATTTATTAAGATCTTAGAGAAAAGCAAATAAATATAAATCCCTGGTATTATTTTACTAGATTACCTTGTGACACATAATTGGTTTACTGTTAATTTTAAAGCAGGAATTTATTAAGTGTAGTTATTAAACTCTCCAGACAGACCAGTAACGTTTTCTTTACATCAGTGATAGGGGAATAATGTAATTATCTAAAGTTGTATTATTTCTGACTAATAGTTTATTTAATCTTGCAAATAAATTGGTTATTATTACTAGCACATGACTGATTTTTAGTACTCTAATTTCCAAGTTTATATCCTTCTTATTTAATCTCTGAAATACAACTAGGTAACTTTTATGAAGTTTTCTAGCTAATTATATGAAGGTGATTTACTAATCAAAGATATCTAGATAAGTGGCTATCTATGATTGTGTTATTTATATCTCACCTTTCCTTCAGGTGTTTTATCCATGGCAAGGTTATATCCATGGCACTCTCTCCTTCCCTTTTCCCCAAAAACAACAAACCTGTGAGGTAGGTTGACTTGACAGAGTATGACTGGCTCAAGGGTGAAACACAAATTTACTTCTTGTATACAAGCACAATTGTTGGAATATTTGTTCCAAAAGAAATTTGTCTTTGACAGAACTTTAGTTGGCAATTTAATAGCATTGAGCTCAACACCTCTGAATTAACATCAGGGTGATACAAAACAAAATTTTTATTAATGTTGTTTTATTGTAGTTTGTGATAGGGATTTCGATCCAGATGTTCTCAGATGAAATATTTATGCTTTATACATAGCTTACTACCAATTTCTGTTATAGCATCAGGTGGGTGGGAAGTGAGGGAGGATCAATACCTTGTCTCAAAATCAATGTACTTCTTTTGACAAAGCAGCTCATCAAACTGGGTGAAGAATCTTTTAGTTAACAGCTTGCTAAAACAAGCTAGGCCTAGTGGATGAGAACAAAGGGATTTTACATTTTCCTGCCCTCAACCTACTTCATCATTCTGCACACACTGAACTTTAGGCGTTTGTTATATTTTTATCACTTATATTATATAAGTGGTAAAAAAATAATGTATATACTTGGCTAATGGAATTGTTGCAAAAGTATCTCGGTTTCATGGTCAAGATCAAGTCTAGGTAATTGCTTCTCAAGTGACGATTTGGAGGTGGGATGATGAGCTTTCAGCATGAGATGCGTTCAGTCTTTCTCCTCTGCTTTCCATGCTTTTCGAGAAATGGATATATAGATACCCTGGAAAAAAATCCACCATAGATTGAAGACTTGGTGGGGGTTCAAGAGCAACAGGGTGCAAAGGACCAAAAGATTAGCAAGCAGCAAAAGAACTGGGATCAATGTAGTTCTTGCAAAATGGAAATAAGACTCCCACACCCAGCTTGATCATGAGCACATGGGAATGATAAAAAAAAAAGGGAGCTGTCCCCACCCTTAGCTTCCTCCCCCCATGTAAAGGAAGAGAGGAAACAGGTGGTGGCTCCATGGAGACATCTGAAAAGGAGTGAAATGGAAAAGCAATACAGGGGAGGAGGCAGGAAGACAGAGATGGATGAGTAGGAGGAGAGGGGGGTTTCCTATTGTGGTGGCTAGGATGCAGGGAGCATAGGATAGGAAGCGGATCCGTGTGTTTGTCTCTTGGTTTGGGAGATAGCAATAAGTGGATCTATGAAGAGGTGGAGATACGGGAAGAGAAATACATTAAAAAAAAAAAAGGCAGGCAGGGACTTTGCAAGGAATGGCCATAGACAACAATCCTGCATCACCAGTTTTGAGCATGCGGTTTTGTCTGGTGACTGGGCCTGCTCACCTCCGCTTCTCCAGTCTGGCTAATCAGAGGAGTGGTAGAAATATTATCCCAACTGGCTGGCTGGGGGTACGTGACGGTAGATGGATGGCACTCGAAGGGGGGAGAAAGCCTGCCTCTCAATCCACTCTACCGTGTTCTGGTAGCTTAGGGTTCACACCCTATCTAGGGAGGCTGGCTAGGAATGCCCCAGAGCTGTTGCCTTGGAGACAGGGCCAGTCCTTCTCCCAGGAAGAAATGGGGCTAGGGAAACTGCCATTTCAAAGGATCGCCCCCTCTCCCTTCTCTCTTCCTGCAGGCCGTGATCCTGCCCCCTCCCTCTATTGTCAGCCTGGATAAGGTATAAGGAGCTGGAAAATAATCCAAGCCTTTACCGTTTTTTTTTTCTTTCTTCCGATGATGTTGACTGCTTAGGAGAATGGCAAAATCAGCCCTTGCTGAGGAGGAGGAGGGTTGATGGGGATGGAGAGCAGAGTCTGCCACCAGCTTAAAGGATGCATCCAGAAGAACTGAGCTCCGTTTGCCATGTCTGGACCAAGGTTACTCCATCATTTTTCCCCCGTGAAATTCAAGCTGGTCTAGTCTGACTCCCCAAACAGACAGCAGCAAAATCCAGTCTACTAGGTTTTCTTTCCACCGGGTCCCACCTAGATCAGTCCATTTCCACTAAAATCCAACCAGCAGGAACCCCCTCCCTTTAAGCCAAAAAATCTCCAGACTGATCCATTCTTATGTCAAAAAAACAGACGCTCACCAATTCTTCCAGGGATTAGTTTCATCAGGGTAACCAAGGCATCAGATCGCACTACACCCCAACTGAGTCTGTCCTCAAATCTCACAGCTCTCAAAAACTGGCTGTGGCTCGATTCATTTTTTTCAGTGGGATTCCACCAGGAAGGACCCCAAATTCAACTGCTCCTGTCGAAGTGGAAGTCAAGCCATCTTGGTCCCGTCTACCGGAAGATTCTTTAGCCTGCCTGGGAGGGGGAGAGGACTTTAGGCCCCAGCATCTCCGGGCTTCATTGGGAGAAGCCGTTGGTGGTGGTTGTAGGTCCAGGTCCGCGAGAAGGCTGCCATGAGAGGGAGGAAAGGGCAGCGTGTTGCAGGAAGCGGCGTTGGATGAAATGGCTGTGGAAGCTAACAGGGAGGACAATGGACAGAGATAAGCGCGCCCGCTCGCGCGCGCCCCGTATGTCTGTCTCTGTGTGTGTGTGTGTGTGTGTGTGTGTGAGTGAGGACGCGCGCTCGCGCGCTCGCGCTCGTCTGTAAGTGTGTGAGTGAGAGTGTGAGAAGGTGCGGGAGAGGGAAGCCTCGGGAATTTCCGGACAGCTTCGGTCCCAGCGGCGGAGGGAGGGATTTGGGCAGGAGGGAGCATCCTTTTTCACTTGCAAGAACCAAGAGCAGCTGGTGGAAAGCACCAAGTGCCTCTTGGGGTAGGGGGACTCTGGGAAATTCTTGATAGAAGCCAACCTCAGATCCAGGAATTCGGCTTTATAGGTCATTCACCAGCAGGGAGAGGACTCAAGGCGAGGGCTTCGTTTCTAAACTTCTGGAGTAGGTCCGAGGGTCGAATGGGTCAACATTGCTTATATAGAGTCAAGAAGGAAACCCATACAGATATAAAAAGACACGCACCTTGTTTAGTACAATTCTCTTCTTCGCCCCCTCACCGGCTTTTTAATACTATATCCCACCGCCCTTCTTTCCAATGCAATTTCAACACTCGGTTGCCAAGTCAACCATAGGAAGGAAAACTTCTGCAAATTAAATCTTAAGAAAGCTCCTCCCTGTCTCATGCTCACAAGTGCACAATACAGAGTGCTGCATTATATGGGGCCACAAAGGATACTTATCACAAAGCATATTTTTAAAAACTTCCACGAATCTTTCCATGGGATATCTGTAAGGCTGTGGTCAATGATTAAAAAGCTATTTTGATAAGGGTGGTGGTGGGATGAGCACAAGGGCTTCAGCCCCACCCCAAAATAAAAACCTTGTTATGAATGCTGCTATTCAAAGCTCTCTTTTTGCCAGAAGTTATTTTATAAATATATAGACCATTCACTGTAAAAAAAAAAATTGCTTAGGGAAGCCAACAAAAAGACAAGTCTAGAATGCAATATTATTGATAAAACTATCAGCTTTGTTTAAATGCTGTTTAACATTTTGTTCAAGCTTTTGTTCGGTGCAGAAATCCGTATTAAATCATTCTTGGCAGTAGCTGTAAGGGGAATCCACCATCTACCTAGAAAATAAACGGGGCCCACCGTCAAACATTATTATTGCATTTTTTTTTTCAATCCAAATCTATTTTGTAATTTATAGCCAGTATTCCCCAATCTAGAAGGATGGAGAACAGATTGCAGCTTTCTGGATGGTAATTGTTCTGTTTTTTCCTTACGGGATTAAGCATATACAATTCCCTTTCTCCCTAGTATTCATTTTCCAATCTTAAAATGAGTTTTGTTCACATTCACTGTAACCATTCCAAACTTGTCTGAATCCTTTTTTAGGTATAGTGCTCCAGCTAGGCATAAGATACCAGATGAGGTCTGACCAGTACCAAATGGACTGAAATAGTGTGTAAACGAAGTCTCCAGAATTAGAAAGTCAGTGTGATCTGGAGAAGGAAGATGAGCATTCTGCTGCAGACATGGATGTATACATCAACACTCTGACTCATGCTCAAGAATGCCCTGATAACCAATGACAATATTTATACATCACACTATCACAGGTCCCAATTCAAAGTCTAGCATCTGTACTTTGGTCTCATTCCAGTTCATATGTTGCAATCAATTGCATGGACAGCTATATTTGTTCAGGTTAAGTCAGTGAATGGCAAACGTTTTGGGCTTAGTGTGTCAAAAATTCAGAAAATGTCTAATTTGATTCTGCTGTGTGTGTTTGTGTGTGTGTGTGTGTGTGTGTGTGACATGCGCACAAACTGAAGAGAAACAATTATATATTTATTTTTTTAAAAAATGCAGACAAATTGAGGTAGTTCCAGGTCGCACAAGGCCTTCATTCTTGAAACAGCTTCAGAAAATGTTCTTCCACAGGATCTGTAATCTCCAAAAAGTGTGAAAGCATACCCCATTCTCACAATTCCCAGTGGCTCTGGAGGCAGCATGATGTCCAGAGGAATTCCCCCAAAACTGTGTGAGAATAGGGTGTGCTTTCAAGAACAGTTGTTGTCAGGTATTGGTGAACATTGGCATGTCACCCAAACTGTAAGTGTATCAACACAGAAATATTTCCACACTGTGACCCTGCTCTTTTTGGAAATACCACTCCATCCATGAAAATATTGAAGCATTTTCCCCAGGTAGCTAAGGTTGGCCTCAGCAACTAGCATTTTGAGATTGATTGATTGATTGAGATTGATTCTATACACCTTAATATAGGCTGCTAGGATCCAATAATATTCTTCTGGCCAGTTCTCTGCACTGGTGCTGTTTTGTCAACCCCATGTTCTTCAACTACTGACAATGGTCCTCTTCTGGATCGGCTGCTCATCTCCATAGCTTCAAGCAGCTGGTCTAACTTTGTCAGAATGCTGTCACCAAAATGCTATGCAATTGAATGACAGCTACTGGTTTACATGACTTTAAGAGATTAGACAAATTCATGAAGAGTAAGGTTATTAATAGCTGCTAACTGTATGGTCTGTCTGCTATTTCTCAGTTCGTAAGTAATGCATTATAGAATATTACTTGCTGGAAATATAACTGTCTTATAGGCTTTCCAAAATGTTCTCCTTATCCACTGTGAAAAACAGAATATTGGATAGCCCTTTGTTTTGTTTCAATTCTGATTGCTTTGCCTCATCTGAATTGGCTGTCCTCCAATTATTTGTTCAAGGCACCACTTTGGATTGTCTCCCCCTCAACTAGGGGAGACATGAAAGGAAAAACAAGATCTGGCCTAAGGGGCTGCATATAGCTAATGTCCTTTTGTAAAGTAAAAGATGTTGATTGCAAACTAACCAGAGCAGCAGTCTTCTGCAAAATAAATTCAATGACTTGCACATTCATAAACTTGGATATTTTGCAGTCCTAAAATAGTCTTATGCTCCTGTTACTGACAGAAAATTTCCCAGCCTTCATTGGTGATTTAATAACTTTCAGTAAAGCATTTATTTGCTCTGATATTTTGTTTCTAACCAATTGTTTCTAGATGGAGCATCCCAAAGGGAGTGAAGTCCATACACACAAAGCCTAATTTTTCCAAACATTGTAGAAGAAAAAATTCTACACATGTTCAAATAAATTCTTGTTGCTTTGCTTATTTTGGGTTGACTTCTCACACTGAAATATAATGCCGGGTATTAATGTCTGTACCCTGTGATACAGGGTACCCTGTTTAGATACTTTACTAAACAGATTGTCAAGTTCTTAGATATTATCACTTTTTTCTTAACCAACTTCAATGCTTTTTGCAGTCAGCTTAAACCAGCAACTACGCGTTTTCAGGCATACTGAATTGTACTATATTACCAACTACCAGATTTCTCTATTTTTCTCCTGAAATTCATGCGTTCCAAGTGTCACTGAATCCCAGCATCCTTTATTACTGGCCATGTTAACCATATTCAGCAACACTGGGAGTACCCCAAGTTTCCTGCCCTTGCTTGAGCTAGAATGTCACAATTGGGGTAGAGATAAAATGATTGCGGAATACCAACTTTTAGGCTCCTTTTTTGCTGATAATGACAAATTAAATAATTTAGGTTTCAGTGCATATCATCTATTGGGGAAGACCAGTCTCTTGAAATAATATCCTTGGGTCATTAACTGAATCAAAAGAAGGAAAGGGGGAATATGGAGGCAAAGAGTTGGGAGCAGTGGTGAAATCCATTTTTTTTTTTACTACCAGTTCTGTGCGCGTGGCTTGGTGGGTGTGGCAGGGGAAGGATACTGCAAAATCTCCATTCCCACCCCACTCCAGGAGAAGGATACTGCAAAATCCCCATTCCCTCCCCACTCCTGGGGGAGGGATATTGAAAAATCTCCATTCCCACCCCACTATGGGGCCAGCCAGAGGTGATATTTGCCAGTTCTCCGAACTACTCAAAATTTCTGCTACCGGTTGTCCCAACTGCTCAAAATTTCCACTACAGGTTCTCCAGAACCTGCTGGATTCCACTCCTGGTTGGGAGGCTGAGGCTTCCAAATAATCACAGGAGGGCAGGTAACAGTTACCCTAACCCTAACCCATTTGTTGCAGTTTCCAAAAAAATTCCCAAGGACACAAGTGCTATAGTCAGGATGTTTATTAGTGCTTCTGAAGCAGGCACAGCTCAAAAGGATGTACACACATACACATATAAACACATCCACACCCACACACACACACGTTAGTCCCATCCAATTCCTTGCTCTACAGTAGCAGATACATAACAGATTTCCTGCCATGCTCCCTATAGTCTACCATGCACAGATCTTTTTCCATAGCAAAAGACCTGGCTGAGGAACATGATCAAAGACAGCAGCCTCAGTCTAAGAGATGGAGTCCAAGACATCTAAAGGGCTCTATCTTGGGGGAAGGCTGCTCAAACAAATAAGGCTTCTGGGATTGTAATCTAATTCCACACCATGGGGTGATTGCAAAATTGAAGAAAGGATGCAGAGTTGTTGCTTTTAAATCATGGACAAATGTACCACTGCTAATTCTCTTCTTTAGTGTTCTCCAGCAAGCTAAGTTTCAAGGGCTGAACAAGCATGATTTCTCATTCATAAATCCATAGCTTGATACTAGTTCAACCTGCACAGTTTACCTCCCTCCCCCCCTCCCAAACTGCATGGATTCAGTCTGTTCACAGAAAATAAGTCTCTTCTGGACAAAGCCACAAATACCAGTGGCAGAAGTGAAATCTCCACAATGCATTCTGCATGCGTAAGACAATTTGCATCAAGATAAAACTACTGGACAGAACCAGCTTCTATACTACAAGAAGAGGTCAGCACAGCCTAAAAAGCTAACCACAAAAAGGATCAAATAAATTACCCTCTCATCCCTAAAAAATTAGACAGCTGGGCTTTCGCAACCATCTATCTGACCATTTTTCAATAATTCCAAAATTGTAAGCAATATAGTTTAGCTTGAATAACTACCTTCAGCTAGTTTAACTTTGCAAATAAAATATAAATAACTCACTCTTTGACCATTAACAAAACTGTTGAATGTGTCAGTTACTCTTACACTGATGAGCTGATTTAACACATGCAGTGTAATAAGAAAACCCTTGATCTTTTGTTAAATTACTGATAATTTTTGAATTATTGGCCAGTATCTAGAGATAGCTTTCAGTGTTCCTGATCTTTCTTTCTACCATTTCCATTAACCTATTCTTCCAAATGGCTGTGCATATATAGTACTCTTCTCTCTATTCCAGATATCTAACAATATTACCCACAAAAATCAATGCTACATTAGATGTAGGTCTTCAGGATGTCATAGGATTCATTTTTGTTCTTGCTCTAGTATATTACCAGAGTATAATATTGTTCTGAAAAATTACCTGAATTTTTGCAAATATAATATTGGAAATATAATGAGGCCCTGTGCATTAATGGAAGGAGTTATGAACTTGGCTCTCCTAGTTGTTTCTGGCTTGTATTTTTCATGACCCAGAAAAAATTTGTAACTTGTTAATGTATTATAAAGAGTAGCTGTAATTATTACACATGCTAACCTGTTGCATACAATTATATTTGTGCACTTACATCTATTTAGTTTCAATATTAATTATAAAGATTACCCAAACTTCCTACCTCCTCTGAATTACATTTTATTATTGCTGCTCAGAGAAGAGAAACCACTGATTTTTCTATAATAATGTTGGTGAAGAGTTAGTATACAGGATCCAGTGGGAGCAAAGATTTATACATTAGCGCAGATACACAATGGTGGTTATAGAGATGATTTTTTATAACAACCTGCAATCTAGCTGTTATTGATACTATGTTTAAAGTACACAACATTGAACTGAAGGTAGGGGTTCATATTACTGAACACACTTCATTTAAAAATAAAGTACACATAAGGAAGAATCTAGTATAGCTTTCTTGCATACTCTCTAGCTTCCTACGTGCAGATGGAGAATCTTGAAACAACTGTACTCTAAACTGGCCAGCTGAATGCTGAAAGTTAGCAACAATATAAAGTAAAAGCACTAAAGTAAGCCTAGTTTTACAAGAGCTAATTCAAAATACTTTGAAATTGGGTATCCCCAAATCCACAGAAACCTCTAATTAACATGAAGCACATTCCACATATAAATTCTCCTACACATTATTTGACCAGGAGCTGTGCAAAAGCACAGCAATGTTTTATGCAGATATTTTGCATTTTGATATAAGTTGTGCAGAAGAACTCTCTGAAGAATAATACTCCATAATATGTTTATATCCCACTGTGCAGTCCTTAATGTTATTCAACAATCTGCCACCAGAGGCAGCCTGTTCATTTATGAAGATTTTGGCTTTGACCAGTGTTCCATATAGACATCTGAATTATAATCAATGCTTGCTTTGTAGCCAAGTGGAGGTACCAAATAATTTTCAGAACTTATGTGGTGTGGAACATGTATAAGACATATTTGCTTGATGAAGGATCTGACAGTTTGAATAAGGCAGAAGGAACAATAGTAGGACATCAAAAAATGTTAACCATGGGACAATTAAGAAAAAAATGTGTACATTCTCTCTCACTCACTCATTCACTCACACACACACAGCCGTGACTGCTAATTACATTCTGATCTCAGCTTTTATCTGGAAAATACAGATTTTTCTTAAGATGACTGACGTCAGGACAGATCTCTCTTCATGAAGCACAAACAGTATTCCACTTTCCAAACCTCCCTATGTTCCTTAATTAAGAGCATTCACCAATGGATGGGGAAAGCAGGACCATGTCTGGATCAGCAGACAGAAGTGGCTTCAGAACCCATACAAATATCTCCACTTCCTCCACAAGGCCCCACAAGCTATATCACAGCAGCTGTTGACAGTACAACATTCAAGAGGAAGTTAATGAAAAACATTTAGCAGCATGAAAGCGGGTGGGCTTTCTTCTTACAGCAAGTTCAGTGCCATTTTAACCTATTGCACATAAAGACACAGGATGTTTCCAATCTACTCCTTTGCTGCAGACATCAAACATGTATATATAAATTATTTTAATCTTCTGCAAACCCACCAGCCTGGGTTTGTACTGCTAGTTGTTAATAAATAAAATCTCTATCTTGGGATGAATTCTACGGTAGAAAAAGTCAGCCTTCCCACCAGGTACAAAAATAAATATGGGGCCATCTGTTTTAAGGAGCTTTCCTGTAGTCCTCTACGTTGGACCCTGCCAGTGGCAGAGAAGTGTAGGATCCAGGAGTGAAAAGGGGTCCTAGAAGCACAGACAGTCAGCAGTCCAAAGTTTCTTCCTAAGAAGCTGGGTATGGCTCAGGATAGGGGCATGAATGGAACTTGGCTGTGCAATTGTAGAGGCCATCTGGAATGGTTGTGATTGTATTTTGCAGAAGCTGTACGGACAAAAAACTGAAAATGCTGCCATCTTCTTTGGAATGGAAAACTTCTGTCTGTCTCCCTGTTTCATTCAAATAATGGGAAATTACAGAAACGTGGAGCACAATGCAGGATTGCACAAATCCTTCTGAAATCAGGTGCTCAACAAAAGTGCTATTTTGCCTTTGGACTTTTCTTGTTAAATTCATTGAGGCTGGCACAGGAGAACATTCTGAAAGAAAGTGCTTCATGATATTTTCAAAACATATTTACAATTTCCCAGCCTTGTAAAAATAAATGGGGATTAGGGGTCATCTCTTAATTAGTCTTTTTCACATTGATAGACTGCTAAGTCATAGGGTAGTATATTCAGGTCTAAGCCTACATTCTTTCCCAAAGAGCCAAAGGAACTTCTACAATAGATTAGCACTAGGTGTGGGGTCATTTTTAACTCAATGGGATTTTTGTTTGTTTGTTAATGCAGAATTCACTTAATTAGTAATCATTTGTACTTGCACATGAGAAAAGCAAGATAGAAACTGAGCTAGCTGGTTGATTTCTCCAAATCTCTTACACAGAACAGGTTGGTACTTTGTAATATAATAAAACCAGAGGCTCCTCAAACTTACTAGGAATTTAGTTTCCAAACTTTGCACTAATATATAGAGAATGGGCATACAGAATTTAAATAAAACATTCTATCTTAAGTTTTACATGGGCCATTTTGACTTGCTTCTTATAAGTAAGCTAACTGGATTTCAGCCAAGTACCTGAAAGAGCAAGGCCAAAGACACAGAGATAAAGTCTACTAAATTTTAACAAGGAATTTTGTTTTTAAAGATGGAAAAGAGAAATAATATTCTGGCTTTTTGAGTAGGATTTGAGGCCGTTAAGGCATACTTAGTTGCCTCTCTATATTTGAAAATGAAGGATGGACAATGCTGTTGCTTCTAACCTTCTTGAATAAACTGTGCAAAGGGAGAATGGGAGGGCTATTGGGGCTTTGAGCCCTCTGTCACCCGCTCTGGGTCTTACAAATGCTACCTCAGAACCAATTCATGTCAAGTTTCACATATAGCTCATTTTTATTGTCCAAGCAATTCATCTCTTATACCAGATGATCTAATAAAAATAAATAGTTCTGAACCTTGGGAAATTTAGAATGGATGTGCTATTAACTCTAAAAAGATCTGATACTACTGCCAAATTTTTAGCTGATCAGGTGAAACGGGAATAGAGCCAAGTTACAGATCTTCTCATGAGCCTTTGGCACTTCTGAGAGTCATACCAATTATGAGAACCAATCCAGAAGGAGGTAAAGTGTAACGGCCACCAAAGGCATGCAGCTGTTGAAAACCACGGGAAGGAAGACAAAGAGGCTGAGGAACCGCAGGGAGCGTGTCAAGATCTTTTCAAGTTCATTATGAGGAACGGGACTGGTTTCAGGGGGCTTGTGGACATGAAGGCCCTCACCCAGCCAGAGGCTGCCATGCCCTATCAAGAAGCCCTGGCTCTTGCCTTGTCCAGGGGCATCAAGAGGGCTGGATGGCAGGTCTGTGGGCCGCTTTGGTAGGGGCACTAGTGTCCGGGCTGGAACTACAAGGGGCATCACCATAGCCTCTGGAATTACCGGCCTCAAGGTGTTAGGTGCCACCACTCTCAAGCTGGGAAAGGAGTCAGAGTCCTTCATTGGACTCTGTTGGACATTTCCCTCTTCCAGATGATTTAGAAAGCAGCCTTCTAGTAAGACTGGTGGGCTATCACGGCCTGATCCCACCACCCCAGGTGGTCCCTGTGTTGCATAACCTGCCATAATTCCCTCCTCCTCACTATCTCTGGAGTCATCGCCCCGTTGCTTAGCATAGTACAGTGTGATCTCTTTTGCCAGGGAACTGTTGAGTGCTCTCTCTGGGCCTGTCCAGTTGACTATCAGGTCACGATCAGTCAAGACACTCTGACGCAATGCAATGAGAGATGGTACAGGACTGGTGTTGTTGCCTGAGCTCTCCTCAGACCACTCTCCTCTTCCTCCAAGCTCCTCTGCTCGAAGCCGGCTCAGATGGGACAAGTAAAGTTGTTCCAGTTCTCGATCTATGGCATCTTCCTCCAAACGATGGGGCAGCTCTTGGTATCTTCTCAACTGTTCCTCCATGCATTCTTCCATGAAGGAGCCCTCTGTGGTGAGGTCACACTTGCTGAATTCAGGAGCATCCCACTGTCCCAAGGGATGGGGTTCAGCACCTAGCATGAAACCCAATGGCACTTTCAGCTCCTCATGAGATGTAGTGTGGACCCTGATAGCATGTCCCTGTGGGGAATCAGTAAAATCTACGAGATGATCTCTAGAAGGGTTCTTCTTTTCTGGTGAGTTAGTAGTGATTGTGAGTTCTGGAATCTAGGCAGTGAAGGAAAAAGCAGAAAAAATAGAATGTGAAAAGGAGTAGCAAAATAATATATTTATCTATAGTGTGATGAACGCTCATAGCTACCTACGGAGTGGTAGAAACAGAGCATTAAGTTTCATCAGGAGAGTAAGGAATGTGCCTTTTTCTACCAGGTGTTATGGCATAACAACCCTAAAATTGCATGCCTATAGAGGAAACAAACAGCACACTTTACTTTCCAGCTCCATTTGCACCAATAGGTATTGATTTAATCTCTTTTTCAAGCACACTACTTGGAAAAATATGTTGTAGGTCAGAAAAAGTCTACATCATAATTGAATGATCGTTATTCTAAAAAGACCTATAAAAATCTGAAGTTCAAGCTCTTTTACTACTTATTTTCTAATTGTTCATCTTTAAGAGGAGAAAAATTATGTTTTATTTATTATATTTTAACACCCATTACTTCTGCGTGCTCAAAGTAGCATACATTGGTATGATCACTGTGGTATCCCCTGTGAGTAGTATGAATCAAAAGAAAGTGACAGACCAAAATCACCCAATAAATTTCAATTATCAAACCTGGTTCATCCCTGTCTAACTCTGCAATTTTAACCACTATGTAACAGTTGTTTGCTGCCAAGATTTGGTAGCTCATGTTTGAAGGTTGAGTGGGGGCTATAAAAATTTAGGATTAGATACAACCTACAGGTTACAGGATCCCAATCTTATTAAAATTTTATTCTCAGTCTGTATCAAAAGTGTTAATTTTTAGGATAAAAATGGTTATGTTTTAGCAAGAACCATGGGGAAATAAAAAGTATTTATAGAATTAATGCTACTTTCATTTTAAGTATACTTATTTCTCCTCAGAATGTACTGCTTTATTTAAATGAATGGACATCATATATTTCTGCAAGGCAATGCTGATTAAGATGGTTATGTTAAGCAACAAGATAGTAGCCAAACTATGTATGATATACTTATGAGAACAGCAATTTTATTATAAATATTCTTCCAGCCTCTGTTCTGTTCTGTTATGATTTTGATGTTGTTCTTTCCAGAACTAGTACATTTTTCCTCTTTTTATCAGACTTGATTTGTAATAACAGATTACAAATTATTTTATCATTTCTTTGTTTTAGTCTTCTTATATTTGCAATGGGAAAACAATTTTTTTCCCAGTAATCCTGCAGCTGCTGGCCCTGGCTTCTCAACCAACAGTTCTGAGTCCTGTAGACCAGCACTCCCCAACCTTTCTGAGTTAGTGGCCTGGGACGGGGGCGTGGGGTGGAAACAGCGGATGGTTTTTTGTGGGGGGCAGGCACGCACGCAGCTTCATGTGTATGAGTGATGGACACATGCACCAGTGCCCGCCACACACAGAAGTGGGGCTGCAAGTGTGGCCCAGTTGCAAATAGGCCACGGTCCAGTAGTGGGCCATGTCCCACAGGTTGGGGACTCCTGCTGGAGACCATTTAAAGAATAACAGAGTTGGAAGGAATTTTGGAGGTGTTCTAGTCCAACGAGGACTAGAACTAGAACTACAACTCAGGCAGGAAACAGTATACTACTTCAGACAAATGGTTGTCTATCTTTTCTTTAAAGCCTCCAGTGTTGGGAGTACCCACAACTTTTGGAGGCAAGTCATTCCATTGATTAATTGTTCTCAGGAAATTTCTCCTTAGTTCTAGGTTGCTTCTCTCGATTAATTTCCATCCATGGCTTCTTGTCCCGCCTTCAGGTGCTTTGGAGAATAGATTGACCCCCTCTTCTTTGTGGCAGCCCCTTAGATATTGGAACACTTCTATCATGTCATTCCTGGTCCTTCTTTTCATTAAATTGGATATACTCAATCCCTGCAACCATTCTTCATTTGTTTCCAGTCCCCAATTGTTATCAGATATCCAGGATCTCCAACACCTAGCATGCCCTTTTTGACCTTGGCAACAATCAATCCAGTATAGGTTTTTTATAAATTACATTTCACCATATTGTTTATGGGAGAGGCACTCTTTGTGTAGCTTCTCTGATGAGACTGGTCCAATATGGTTGAAGTTCTATTGTAGCTCTTAATTCTCCACAGAACATGCAAGCCCCACAACCATGTTAAGGGTGTGCCTCATATAAGAAAATAAGCTTTCACCTTTGTTGTTTCAAGTGCTATTTTAAACTGACTTTCTTCAGCGAAGGTTTTAGGCTTTTCTTAATGTAGTCATTCAAGCCATGCTTTTCTTCCTTCATAGTTTGTTTCACCTGTAAGAGTCCTCTATCCCCTTCAGCTCTTGGCAAATGCAGTCAATCAATATCACTCTTTTGATCCAAAGCACAGTGCACTGTCATTAGTTTTCTTGCCTTCCGATCCAAGATATCAAATTCTATCTAGGTCCAATCAACTATTCCTGCTGTATACTGAATAACAGGGACTGCCCCAGTATTATTTGCTTTGATAATGTTTCCACCATTTAGCTTTGATTTCAACATTTTTCAAACACATTTGATATATTTGCAAGAAGTATTTTCTTTTACTTGTTTCTGAATAAATTGGAAGCTTCCAAAATTCCCAAATATTTGTAGCCTTCTTCTGGTGCTACTACCTTAATCAAATCTTCATTGCTAAACTGTATTCCATCATCTGCAACAATATTGCCTGCCCTTATGGCTATGGTTGCATACTTCTCAATGTCAAATAACACTCCAATCTCTTTTCTGAAGTCGTTTGTGTTTTTTAATAAAGAATCTAGTTCAACCTTTGTTTTTCCAAATAATTTTAAATCATCCATACAGAGTAAATATGAAATTTATACTCCTTTTTTGCCAATTCATATCCATAATTTGTCTTATTCAAAATTGCTGTCAGTAAGGCCATTGATACTTTACAGTAAAGTGGATAATGAGTCACCCAGGAAAACTTCTCATTTGATTTCAACTTTTCCTAATTCTTCACTTTTAGTTGTCAGCTTTGTTCATCAAAACTTCATCAAAATATTCATAAATTGCTGAATGTTTCTACTGATTGCAAAAACTTTGAGACATTTCTCAATCCAGCTTTGTGAAATAGAATTGAATGCCTTTTTATTTTCTATTCCAAGCAATGAACAATTTTGTGTTTTTTTAATCCTTTAAAACCATCTTATCATCAGTAACTGGTCCTTTGTTTTTCTAAAACTTCTGCAGCATCCTTTTTGCTCTATAGGAGTAAATCATTACTTTTCAAATAGCTGTAGACTTGATTTGCAATTATGCCCATAAGTAGCTTGTATTTGTTGGCAAACAGGCTATATCTGTAATTTCCAGGTTCTTTCCCCTTCTCCTTATCCTACAGAATTAGGAATGTCCTTATAATTGTTTAGTCATTTTCTGGTTTTTGGTACTTCCAAAAATCAGAAAATGGTCTGGTCTGCCAACCTCAGATGTAGATTAGCCTGAATCCATGCAGATCATCAGCTCAATTCCAGTTTTTACCTTCTCTGATTGCTTTCATACCATTTCCTCAATTACCCTAATGCACGGGTGTCAAACTTGCGGTGTCACATTGCCATCACATGATGTATCACGATTTTCCCTTTGTGGAGCTGGGGTGGGTGTAGCCTGTGTGTGACGCATCCAGCTCGTGGCCCGGCAGTTTGATATCCCTGCTCTAATGTTTTTCATACTGACTATTTCCAATGCATGTTCAACTTGCTTGAACCATGTTGTACTTCTACTGTTTTCCCACAAACGTTTCCAAAATTTTAGGGTCTCTTTTTTGTCAAGCTTCATTTACAGTTAGTCCTTTCCCTTTTTTCAAGGGTTTTGTAGAATTTAATATTGATTTGCTCTAAATTGCAAAATCTGCAGAAATTGAATCATTTGATTCTCATATTACGTGATCTTCCCTGGAAACTGCCATAACTCTGAAATTCCTTTACTGTCCAGGTTGTACTTTACCCACACCCACACCCAGTTTTGATTGATTTTTCAAAGTTCCTTGCTTCAAATTCTTTAAATCCTCAAGTTTATGAAAATTCTCTTTATTTTCAATTCTATTTACATGTACCATTTAGGTTTTCCTTTCTTAATAACTTCATTCCTTCGTACTTGAAGCCCCAATTCCTCAGTAGTTACATAACTGTGACATACATCAACTGGTTCATTTGGGCCAATGTTTCAGTTGGAATAATTTTAACAACTTCTTCATTGTTTTAGCCAAAGTTTTCTTGCTAATTTGATTCCATTTTGGTAAATGTATTTTTTTTTTTTTTTTAATTTGATTTATATGCCGCCCTTCTCCGGAGACTCAGGGCGGCTTACAGTGCGTTAAGCAATAGCAATTTTTCAACTTCTTTCATTTCTTCTTTGATTGAGATGGGGGATAGGCAGGTGGGGAGAGGTCAAGAGAAGGCAGTTACTTTATTTTATCCTGTCTCTGGGCTAGAAGGGACGGGTGGGTCCTCTTTTAATAACCAGTGGGATTTGGTTAATAATGGCAAATGATGTGGTCATGTGATGTCACAGTTTACAACTGCATCACTTAGCAATAGAAATTCTGGTCCTAATTACACCCAAGGATTACCTGTATACCATAATAGCCTTAGACTTTTTTTTTGAAAAATGGATACTGCATTGCAAAGATACTGTTGTCATTTGGAAAGGATTTCAAGATGCTGAAGAAACAAAAAATCTAATCAAAACATTAATCTGCAAGCAATAGTGGTAGGATCAACTACTAATTTCATACATTTTAGGGAAAATGCTATCAACTCCAGATTATTGTTGTCATGACACGAGTTATATTAAAAATATAGGTGAGGAACTGTTTATACAGGACATATTTAATAATGGAGCTGTGAATGAAGCCACTTCCCTGAAGTGGTGGAACCAGTCAGTAATCTGCCAAGTTTTCACTGGACTGGTTTCCTTTGCAAGCTGAGATTATTGTCATTATTTATATTATTTGCTCAAAATGAACAAATTAACCAAGTGTTGAAAAAAACCAAGAACAATATATGTACTTCAGCTATAAATAAAAATAACAGTGTAATGGGCAATATGAGATCTACTTATGTAAATGTTAAGGATATATACATTTAAAGGTGTGGTGACTGGAATATTAAGAATAAATAAAATTTAGGGGGAAAAAAGAATATAGGGAAAATATTATTTTTTTCTTCTGGCTGCCAGAAGAAAAAAAGCCCAGAAACTAGTGAATTGTGATTTCACTGAACTAGGGCTGCATAATATTTTGGTTTACGTAGGTAGAACCTGGCTAAAGAGAAATATATATATATATAAAGTTTAAAATATAACTGAATGCACCTAATTATTTATGTGTATGATTTATTATTCCCTATATATTGTCATTAGGTATTATGTATCATTTTGTACATTAGCATAATTATTACCCAAAATATTGCACAAAGTATACAGGTTGTCCTCGAGTTATGGCCACTACTCATTCAGTGACTGTTGAAAAATATACCAGTGCTGAATGAAAAAGACTTATGACCAGTTTATGAAATTGTGGCCTTTGCAGCATCCTGATGGTCACATGATTGTGATCCGGGTACCTGGATGCCATTCTTGCAATTATGATGTCAGAATGAGTTGCAGTCATGTGATCACCATTTACGATCTTACTCTGTAGTACCTGCTCTGTGGTGGCCCCCACCAGCTCGCCCATGCTCTGTAGTGCCTGTCTGCAGTCCCTGCTGTCCCACTTGTGCTCAGAATTACCTGCCCATAGCCCCTGCCAACCTGCCTGCATTCAAAAGCACTGGCCTGTGGCTCCTGCCAACTGCCTGCATCCCCTGCAGCTTGCCCACAGTCAGAAGTTCTCTCCCTGCCAATCTGTCTGCACTCTCCTCCAGCTGGCCCATGCCCTGTAGCACCTCCCCACAGCACCCACCTACCCGCCCACCCTGCTCCTTGCCTGGGACTCCTGCCGCTTACCTCTTAACGACCCACATGATCCGGAGGCTATGATGGCAACTGGGACTGTCATTGCCAAGCGATGCAGACAACTGCTCCGCCTAGACCAACTGATCGGTGTCCGGTTTTCGGCTGCCTGGCATGCCACCGATCAGCTGGTCTAGGCGGTCGGGGCTGCTGCCACCGTTCACCGCTGCCGCTTGTCACCGCTGCTGCCTCTCTAAATCCCCTCCCCCCAGGTATGGCAAACCCCACTGAGGTTTGACACAACATGCTTTACAACTATATTGCTTAGCAATGGAAATTCTGCTCCCAATTACTGTGTTATCATAACCCTTTTTTTCCATGTGCTTCATAAATATCTGTTGGTGTGTGTGAAGAATCAGTGGTGGTAAAGTCAGATCACTCTACTTTGTTGTTCTTTACCTGTTTTATTGGAGTTGAAGGCTGCATCACAGAAGAGTTTGGAAATTCCTTGGATAGATTTCCGTCAACACTTGTTTCTGTGATGAGAGAAAGACAGAGGAAATGTATAGAGGTAACAGGGAGAGAAAATAAAGAATCAGCATTCAATATGGAGGACTATTTATTTGCAACTCACATTCTCAGAACTGCTGGGTAGAATCACTATTTTGTACTTCTGTGAGCTCAGAATGGGATCCTAGACATCCAGTTTCTTTATAATCTTAGTTTATACATGTTTTACACATAGTTTTAGAAGTCTCTACAGTCAGCATTGAACTTATATAATGATTGAATGAGTACCAATTTAACTAACAATTCTCAGGACTCTGTTGGCAGAAATACCCCAAATTCATTGTTTCTTCTTATTTATATCATAATGTATATCAGGGTTTCTTAAACAGTTTTCTCTCAGGACCCCTTCCTACTTTTAAAATTTATGGAGGACCCCCAAAAAGCTTTTGTTTCTATGGGTTACATTTATTGATATTTATCATAGATAATATGGAGGACGGACTTTGCTTGCCTGAACGTCCCTTCTCGGCGCGCTGATGGAGAATCCAAAGCGAGGATTATTCAACAGTCTAGCAGTCAGCACTGAGTGTATGAGTCTTTAAATTTTTTTAGGCACGCCCCCTTTGCTCATCTGAGCTTCAGTTTTTGTTCATGAAGAAACAGTTCAGGGAGACGTGCGAAGACCCAAGTAGTGGCCGGCAGCCGGACCGGGTGGGTTGGATTCTCCATCAGCGCGCCGAGAAGGGACGTTCAGGCAAGCAACGTCCGTTCTTCAGCGCGCTGCTTGGAGAATCCAAAGCGAGGGATATGCCCAAGCAAGTTTTACATGGGGGGGTGGACGGCTGCTCATGCGTGACTGAAGCAGAGCACACCGACTGCAAAACGCGTCATCCGAATGACGCTTCCGCCGAGCCGAAAGAGTCAACCTTATAGTGTCTGATGAAGGTGTTCAAAGAAGTCCACGTGGCAGCTTTGCAGATGTCAGATACCGTGGCATGAGTCGCCCAAGATGCCGTGGTGGAGGCGCTCCGGGTAGAGTGAGGAAGGATCCTACCGGGAACCGGTCTGTCCCAAAGCGTGTACGCCTTGGAGATGCAAGCCTTCAGCCATCTCCCGATAGTGGACGACGACACCTTCCGACCTAACGTCCCAGGAATTTTCACAATTTACGGAAATGTTGAGTCCTCCGGATATACCTGTAAGGCTCTACGGACATCTAAGGCTGCCATTGAGCCTCTTGTGGATGTCTCGGATCCGGGCAGAAGTCCAGGAGAACCAATTTCTGCTCACGCTGGTAGAGGGAATTGACTTTAGGTAGGAACGATGGGTCTAGCTGAAGGACCACCCGGTTGGGGTAGAAAACACAGAGGTCCTCCTGGACAGACAGGGCAGCCAGCTCAGAAACACAGCGGGCCAAGGTGATTGCGACCAGAAAGGCTGTCTTTAACGTGAGAAGTCGGAGGCTAATGGTTCCCAACAGCTCGAAGGGAGGCTGCGTAAGTACCTGAAGAACCAGAGACAGGTCCCAAGTCGGGTAGCGGTGGACGACCGGGGGTCTTAGGTTCGCTGCACCCCTTAGAAAACCGTGAATTTTATTGTTGTGTGAAAGGGGAAGATTGTTTTTAGCCGACAGGACCATAGACAAGGCCGCCACTTGTCAACGGAGGGTGTTTGGTGCAAGACCCTTGTCCAGGCCATATTGAAGAAAATCTAGCACCTCAGAGACAGATGCAGAGGTAGGGTCCACATGAGCCCGGGAGCACCATGCACAGAATGAGAACCAGGTGGCCTTGTAGATGCGGCATGTGGATGGGCCCCTGGATGCCTGGATGGTAGAGATAGCCTTCACTGAGACACTGTCCCATCTCAGGAGAATCCTCTCAAATGCCAGGCAGTCAACTGCAGCCATTGGGGCTCTGGGTGCAGTATGACCCCCTGGCTGAGAGAGATTCTGTCGTCCGGAATGCGCCATGGAGGGGCGATTGAGAGATTCAGAAGGTCCGTGTACCAGGCCCTCCGTGGCCAGTGGGGGGCAACCAGCAGGACTTCTGCCTTCTCATGCAGGATCTTGTGGACGAGGCAGGGAATAAGTGGTATAGGAGGGAACGTGTTTAGCAATCCCGGAGGCTAGGGGATAGCAAGTGCATCGATCCTTTCCGCTTGCTGGCAAGGGTAGCGAGCGAAGAACCGAGGGAGCTGTGTATTGTCCCGTCGTGCGAACAGGTCGAGGACAGGAGGGCCGAAGCGTTGGGACAGCTGTTGGAAGATGTCTGGGTGAAGACGCCACTCCGATTGATCGATCTGCGTTCTGCTCAGCCAGTCCGCGGTTACGTTCGTTGTCCCGGAGATGTGCTGCACCTGGAGCAAGAGGAGGTGAGTCTCCACCCAAGTCATCAAGCGAGATGCCTCGTCCATCAGTGGTCTCGAGCGTGTGCCCCCTTCGCGGTTTACATGTGCCATTGTAGTCAACATTGTCCATCCGGACCAGCACATGTCGACCCTCCACTGATGATTGGAAGTGGAGGAGGGCGAGGCGAACTGCACGGAGCTCTAGCCAGTTGATTTCGTTCTGCCGATCCGCCTGCGACCAACTGCCTTGGGCGACTTGAGAGAGCATATGGGCGCCCCATCCAGTCAGACTGGCATTGGTCGTCACCGTGAGATGATGCGGTTCCAGGAAGATGCAGCCGTTCATCAACGCTGACGAGGTCCACCAGCGAAGAGACCTGCAAACCTCTGCTGGAAGCGGTGCCCGAGCAGTGGAGTTGCTGCGGCGGGAGCGTTGGTATGGGAGCATGAACCATTGGAGCTGTCGACTATGAAATCTCGCCCATGGAACAATGGAGATGCATGAGATGAGCTTCCCGAGCAGATGAGACAGGAGCACGAGAGGGATTGCCTGGAGCGAGAGAATTTGAAGGACGAAAGACAGTATGCTGAGGCAACGGTCCGGAGACAAAAAGACCTGCCCTTTGATGGAGTCTATAATCGTACTCAAGTGTAGAATCCAGGTAGTGGGGTGCAAGTGGCTTTTCGGCAGGTTCAAGGAGAAGCCGTGTTGACGTAGGCAGTTGCACACCGTGGCCAGATCTCGCATGGCCTGATCCTGTGTGGATGAAAGGATGAGAATATCGTCCAAATAACACAGGACTCTGATGGGAATCTGCCGAAGATGTGCAGCCACAGCTGCCAGGATTTTTGTAAATGTCCTGGGGGCAGACAAAAGCCCGAAGGGCTTGGCCCTATATTGGAAATGACAATGGTTGTATGAGAAGCGGAGGAAGCGATGTTGTGATGGTCGAATCGGGATGTGAAGGTAGGCCTCCTTGAGGTCTATGGAGGTCATCCAGCCCCCTTCTCGAATGTATCCCAAGATGGACTTCAGGGACTGCATTTTGAACTGATTATTATTATTTATTATTAATCAAATTTCTATACCGCCCTACTCCCGAAGGACTCAGGGCGGTGAACAGCCAAGATAAAATACAGATAATACAAATATTAAAAATCCCTTAAAATTATTAAATATTTTGGCCGAAACACAGATTAAAACACCCAATTTATAAAATCACGAATTAAAAAATTTAAAAGAGGAGAGTTAGGCCAAACTGATGGTAAAGCACGAATTTGTTCAGTTCCTTAAGATCCAGGATCCCTCTGCAGCCTCTGGAATTTTTCGGAACTAGGAAAAAGATTGAATAGAAACCGGTCCCACAGTGTTCTGTGGGAACTGGCTCTATGGCACAAATGTCGGTGAGTTGTTGTATTTCTGCCTCCATTGACCGACGTTTGGTCGGGTTGGACGACACTGGGCGCTGGATGAACATGGTATGAGGGCAGGAGTGAAGCTCCAAGGTCAAACCCAGTTGGATAGTCTGTAGGACCCAGGCATCCGTTATCGTTGCTTCCCATTGGGCGGAGAAGTGTTGGAGGCAACCGCCAATGGGAAGATGATGGAGTCATTTGCCTCTCCTAAAGGCACAGGTCCCCATACCTCTGAAGGGGCGCTTGGCTGGGACAAAGCATCTGCCACGGTCTCGGAAGAATGATCTGTCATAGGGATGGTCAACTCCATGCGAGTATTGTCTCGTGGCGAAGAACCTGCTGGGTCTGGGGTCAGTCCGAAAGGGCTGCCTCTGGCCGTATGACCAAGGTTGACGATCGGCCCGCCTGTATGAGGAAGGCATGACCTTACGTTTGTCTTTATCCTCAATGAGGATCGGGTCCAAGGCCTCCCCAAAGAGCCGTGACCCTTTGTACGTGGCTGATGCGAACCTCCACTTTGACTTCATGTCCGCTCTCCAGTGCCTCAGCCAGAGCAGATGCCGAGATGTCACCGACGAGACCAAGGCACGAGACGCAAACTTGGCAGCGTTGAGAGAAGTGTCAGCGGAGTACTCCATCGCCGCCACGATCTTATTAATGTCTTGGTGGACTCTTGTGTCCTCCGGTGGCAAACGCTCCTGGAGTTGGTGCAGCCAAATGAGAGTCGCCCGATTGAAGAACGACGCTGAGGTCGCTGCCCTGACCACCCAGGCTACAGCATCATGCGTCTTGCAGACTGTAAATTCCGCCTTCCGGTCCTCCATCCGGAGGCCGTCGGCGATGTTGTGAGACAGGAGCAAGGAAGATGAAGTCAAGTTAGCCACGGGAGTATCCACAGCAGGTAAAGACAATACGTCCTGGAGAGACGGAGCCAAACAATATAATTTGCAATCAAGACCAGTAGGTGCCGGCAAAGAGGACGGCAGGGCCCACGAACATTGAACAACTTCCGTGAAAAGTTGAGGGCACGGAATATAGGCTTGTTCGGTCTTAGGAAGATTAAACAGAGCGTCGTGTGGTTGAGACGCTGTTGGCTGATCAGAGAGACCATCTGAGGTGGCCATGTGAGTAGTCGATTTTGCCTTGTGTAACAAGGACTTAAATAGAGATGGTCTAAAGAGACCGGTAAAGGCTGGTCTGTCAGGAAGAAGGTCCTCATCGTCGGAGAATTCCATGTCCTTCTGGGCCTCCTCATCCTTCA